TGATGAGTGGGTGTAAAAACAACGAAAATTGTAAAAATTCCGAATTGGCTTTCTCGCGAAAAGGGGCGGAGTTGCCCGTGTCAATCGGTCCTTATCACTAAACCAGTGGGCTCGCCGGCTGACGCCGGCGTGCCTCCTTCCGTGATACGGCCCGGCTTCGCCGCGCTTACCTCCTTCTACACTGGATACTCAACAATTATCCGGCTTTTCACCTGTATGAAAGTAAGGGCCCCGTGCTTGAGAACACGCTCCACCCACTGTGGGCGGGTCTCAACACACCTCAGGCATGCCGAACTCTCCCCAGGTGTTGCCCTCCTACACCGACTTTTTTGCGATTTCTAAACTCTCTCGGGAACCGAGTTAATGAATTTCTCGGGAAGCACCGCCTATCTCAAGGACGCCCCGCCCATTTCGGGTATGTCTCCCCTAATTGGTTCGACAACCCCTTGCTAACCTTATTCCACTTTTTCCCCATCTCTGGGCTGCTCTGGAAGCGAGTTATGAGTTTTTTCTGCGGCTCCGCCAACTTTCGGCGCATGCCCCGCCCACTGTGGGCGGGGCTTAGCATGGGTCACGGGTGCTATTTACATCTTGCCCCACCCATCCCCACCTTGACCCACCTCTCCAAGTTGTTCTTCTGGTAGAACCGAATTTCCGGACAGACAAACAAACAAACAAACAAACAGGACGAAGCCAATATACAGTGGGTGATGTTTATGTGCGAAATTAGTAAAAGTGGCAAAAGTTACAGAACAAGCAGAAATTGTAAAGTAAACTTTCAAACTTCTTTCCTTGAGAAAAAAAAGTTCCCAAAAATTATGATCGCAGTGAGAAGTGGGTGTGGCTGTCCGGGCGGGGCTAGCAGTGTGTCTAGAGCGACCTGACAGATCAACGGTTCTAGATGTGCGAGATTTGATTGCGGAAAGTTAGTGGAACTCTTTAGGGCAAGTTTGATTTTTGCGTTTTTGTTTAATTATTTCGCAAAAGTCGTCAGTTCCTCTGCGCTGCATCAGGCCAACACGAGACATTCTGTGGGAAAAAGTCATAATTTTGCAGCATAAAAGGCGAAAAAGAAAGCAAAATAGAGTACGATGAATATATATGAAGTTAGTTGGAGATAGCTTATGCCACCATGTTCCTAAAGTTAGGATTGTCTTCGGAGAGCCTCTATTGAAATATGTTTCAGACCAGTCGCTGGTTATGTGAATCTCTGCCCATCCGCTTTGTCTACACATCGTCACGATCGGGAGATTCTGTTCTCGACTGTAAAACACGAGATTCTCCATGCACTCGGATTTCAGTGTTGGCCTCTATGCGTTCTTTCGTGATGAAAACGGAAAACCGCGGACTAAACGGTAAGCAATTCAGAGTTGAGATGGACTCTCAAATATTTCACAGTACCCTTTCAAAAAATTCGACATCGCTGTTTATTGTAATTGACAAATGGTACTGCATAGTGTCACATTAAATAACGGAAGAAGAGATGCAGCGAGGTACAGCCGTGATCCCTGCAAACGATAGGGCGTGTGACAGGGCGTGGATTAGAACACTGTCGAAACGGTCTTTCTACCGAGTGTGCGATCCTGAGTCCGCAACAACTGGCGGAAAAGGTTGTCTTGGCTGCGATCCGATTTCCGCCTGTTCACACGCCCTATCGTTTGCAGGGACCATGACTATGTATATAAGGGAAAAAATCGGCACGGGAATACACAGCCGTCGCCGGAACGCCACATTCTGCCCTCTGAAGAGACCTGTAAGAATCCTTCGGATCTGGCAGGGGGTCTTTCAAGTCCTAGCCCATTTTGAATACGTCTCGTTACCTGTTATAGAAAAACCCGTGATTTACCACAAGGAGGTAGTTCCCTTTGACTTTTCGCATCTGACAAAGAGAATGCCAAGAATGGACGAAAAAAAGTTTCACAAGTTCATGAAGTACATGTTCATATTCGGCAATAGCAAGCTTTCTGTTCCTGAACAAGAGTCTGCTCGCATAGAGAATCCTAATTACAGGAACACAAGAAAATAAAAACTGCACGAATGCAAAAATTTGTCACCATGAAGAGTCGAACCAAGAACCTGTTGTTCTTCCTCGTTGTTTTTTCCTTGGCACTTCCAGAACGAGGAAAAAAACCGCCCTCTGTGTCGCTGCTCCTTGGAGTTGCTGCGACTTACAAGTGTTGCTGTCATTGATCAAGGTTTTTTTTTGAGAGGACCCCCACCTTGGAACGATGCTCCTGCCCCCCAGCACCTCACTGCCACGCCATCTTCCCAGGAATACAAAGATTTATTGTTGAAAGATGTGACTGCCTTTGCATGTAAAAAAAGCTATTCAAACTGTTACTGCTCCAATTTTCCGAAAAACAGGCCAAATCTTGATCGACTTTTTTCTACGGGGGCAGATTTGGCTGAAATTCGGGTTTTTAGGGGTAATTCGACCTCCTGAACACGAATATCACATCCACTTTGGCCTGAAATTGCCTGGCGCCCGCGCCATAGGCGCCGGCGCCGTACCCGTAGGTCACAAATCGCGGAAAAAATTGTCCCCAAGTTAGCTACCTCCGAACACGAATATCACATCCCGCTGCGCCCGAAACTTGACCACGCCGGCGCCCAAAATTATTCTAAGTCACCATATCGCCCAGAAATCGGAGGTTTTATTTGACATCGTGATTTACAAAGGATCACATTCATTTTGGCACTGAGTTGCTGATGGAAGACGCCTGCGATCATCTGCGCGTCAGCTAGGCCTGAGCTAGCTGAAGGAAATCACTCTTTTCCCCAGGCTCAGCCTTAGAAAAGTGCTAAATAACGCTACCGTCGAAAAATAAATGTTATATTCGTGATCAGAGCATCAGACTGGTCAATGCAGCTTTTATCCATTTCGATAAGAGGCGTGCCGGCGTCAAGTCAGCGCCTAGGTGCTGCGAAATAGGCGTCAGCGCTGGAAAAACAGATTCGCGTATTCGGTTGCATCAGAACATCAATAACCCTTCCTAAATTCAGATGAGAAGGATCGGTTAGGCGCCGACAGGCGCCACATTTGGCCACCAATTGGCTGGCCGCCAGCGTTGGTGTGAACGAGCTGCTATACTCGTGATCATGACACCGAATGACCTCTGTTGTGCAGGTCAGCGAAAAAAAATTGTTTTTTGACTCGTAGTTAGTTTGAATAGTGTCGTAAAAAATCGTCAATCATATGGGAATGTCACTTAATTGCTTCAGAAACCGCTACGGTAAGCCGATTTCATTCAACAAAGAGTTTGGCTATTACGACTGGGATCGCAGTACGAATCACAACAGTACTTCGAGACGATTGGTGGACAGGAGAAGGCAAAGTAAGTCTCGCCGACTTATCGTTAATTTTTTTCTGGTTATTATTCGATTTGTACCATCAATTATCTATGTATCATTGACCCCCTCCCCGAGCCCAGCAGGCCTGTAAAGTCAGTAGTCTTGTCATATGACACTTACAGGTTGTACATCCGGTCCATATGATGGTGACACCACGGGTAGTGGACGAAGTTCGTCGACATTTCGCGTGCGACAATCTTGAAGGGGCGGAGCTCGAAAACCAGGGCGGAGACGGTACAGCACTCACTCATTGGGAAAAACGAGTATTCGAGGTACAGTCTTTCTGCAGCTTACAATCTCAGCGCTTATAATTTCAGATCTTTTCCCTTAGCATTGTATTTTAAACATTTAAAAAATAATTCTAAAAAATTCAGAACGAAGCTATGACGGGTACGCACACGCAAAATCCTGTGTATTCACGTATGACACTGGCGCTTCTCGAAGATAGCGGGTGGTATAAACCTAATTATGAGTGAGTTTATTCATCCATAACTAAGACTTGATTGCAAGCAAAAAATAAAATTTTGGAAATAAACAAACAAAACTGTTCAGGAAAGCTGAAGAATTGCACTGGGGACGGAAACTCGGCTGTGAGTTCGCGAAAAAGAGTTGTGGCGAGTGGATCAATAATAAAATCGAGAAGTAGGTTCAATTACTATAAAGTCAAATGCGGTACCAATTACAATAGTGCTTCCTTTTTATTTATTTTATTATTTTATTTATTTTATCTATTTATTATGTTATTTTATATTTTTTATTTCTTATTTATTTCCTATTTTTTATTTCCTGTTTTTTATTCCGTATTTTTTATTCCCTATTTTTTGCTTTTGTTACCTTTCCTGAAGTGAATGTTTTTTCGTTGAATTCTCGTAGTGACCTGGTGGTTAGGAAAGTTCTCAGAAAATTGCGGAAAGTTCTCAGAACATATTCCCCCCCCTTTACCCTTTATTTACTACCATCAAAAACCTTCTCCTCCTAATTTTTCGGGCAATTTCTATTTTTCCCTGAAACTACCGTCGAGCGGGAAGAGAGGGGAGAGAAAAGTTGTGCACGACTTTGACGACCACCACCTATGGTGACCGTAAAAAAATCTTCACTACTCAGAAAATTTTTCTCAGTGGCAAATGCGACCTTTCCGCGCGAGCAAATTCGACCCTCTTTCCGTAGACTTCTTCCACCAATTGCGACAGCGCGGTGAAACGGGGAAATCAACTATCAAAAACGTTTTCTCAGGTCATGTGAGTCTCCCGCTCGGGATATCCTTAACTACTCGTATTACGTAGACAGACACTCGTTTAAGCCTCCGTACTCAGTTTCATGATTGTTGCTAGACCTTTGCGATCATTCTATCGACTCCACGATACGAATGGAAGACCATTGCATGGCACAGGCCTTTTTCAGCTGCGCAAGTTCCGCATGAGGAAGACTTACTTGTTTCAAATTCAAAAATCCCGATAAAACGGGTTCACTACGGTAACGAGCGGCCACTGCGCCTTTCCTATTGCGCCTCCATAAAATGGAGGCTACATCTATGAGAAAGGCACAGTGGTTCAATTGATTCCAACTCACTCCAAATCGGCGCGGAGTGTGTCGTTAGGTCAAAATCAATAAAATAAAATAAAACCTCAAAAGGTTCAAGATGAAAGATACTACCTATTATTTTTTTCACTTCATCTCTTTCATTCCGATATCGCTAAGTTACAGCACATTCAAGACACTATTAAATAAATGCTTGAGTCCATGAGGCCTTATATGAGTTCACGTTATTTTCGGTTTGTTATTGTTGTTTGGATATGTCCTTATACACACACACACGCACAACAATTTGTTGTGTAATAAATACATACATTCCAGAGGTGAACTGCCTACGCCGTTTTGCAATGAAATCAAGCACGACGGACAGAAGTCTCTAGGCGTTGCCAGGTAAGATTGTGACTAGTTGAAAAAGTAACCGTCCCACCACACCTTGCCTTTTGCGAGCTGGCGTGCCGAAAACTGTACAAAGCGCCACC